AAATTGTAAATGTTGTACTCACAACCGAAAACGGCAAAAGCTCCTCACCAAGAATTAGGTCCAACCAAGGTTGAACCTCATTCTTGGTGAGGTAAGACCAGTGCAGGCAAAAGCGTAAATAAAATGCAAATTGATCATTGCTTAAATCGTCAATCTCAGGTTCCTTCTTAAACAATCAATATTTGTTTGAAATTTTACCATAAGTAAAATAAAATTGCCCAAAAGTCTCGCACCCATATTCTTGAGCTCGAGTTATTCGACGTAATCTTTCCTGTTTTAAAGGACAAAGCCTCACAATTCGCTACATAAGGTAAACTCTCTTCAGAATTCGATAGATCCTAGTTAACGGTTATTAATTAATTAATTAGGTGACGTCCTAGTCTAGTAGATTTTTGATACTCCTCTCTGTCACTATTAGATCGGCTTTCTTTGTGCTAGGCATGATCATGACTGATCAAAGCACCTCAGTGGTTTGGGTGAGGTATTATATTGAAGATATTTACCTGCTACAAGAACAAGGTAATCTCTGTCTCACATTCTTTTTATTCTTGTCTTAATTTTAGAGAGGACGTCGCCCTCGCTTGTTTTCAGCTAATCAACAAAGGTAGCGTCAAGACCCTGTATTTCCCTCTCCACCTCAGCGTAATAATCAGGAAGGGCTGATGACTTTTCCATGTTCATTATGCCTCTGAAATCACCTTAAAGGCCTGAAACATGTGTAAATATTTAATGGATTAAAAGAGCAAATTAGTATATTTAGACTTATTGTTACATTTAGGCAAGAAGAGGAAAGAGCTAATATCTCCGCTGGGCAATTTACACTTAATTCAAGAAAGTTGTTTTTTTGCTTGTTAAAAATGCAGCGCCGAGTGTAAGTTGGTAGGATATCAGTTACATTCTATATTCCTATTTGCACCTGAAAAACGAAAAATTAATGGGTTTGCAGCTCGAACTGAGCGTTTACTGCCGTCCGTGTCAGTGCAGAAATACAAGCTCAAGTAAGCAGCTGTATATAACAAGGGCGATCGAAGCATAGTTTACAACAGTTAGACAAGGCAAACGAGCACCTGCCTAATACGATAAACCCAAAAAAAGCCACAGGGAAAATAAGAACGTATTTCCTGACCAAATGCAGCTGCGCCGACCTTCGGTTAAAGATTGAGTGCTGTTCACCACATATACTAACTATGCTTTCATAATTCAGAGTATAAAAACGTTAACGAGATGCTTGAACGTCCATCAAGCAAGAACTCACCTGATGTTCAGTGGCTAAGATGCATAAATTATTACTGTCAGACCTCACATACACTACAACAAGAGAGTTTGTTTGTGTCAGGAGGAAATTATTTTCATTTTCTGTCACTGCCACCTTCAGCTTAGTTCCACTGAATGACATGACATTTCATCAACGCCACCTATTTTCTTTTTCTGGATATATCGTTAATATCGTTTTCAAGTAGAAAAGAAAAATGTCAAATAGGGTTTCAGTATTGTTAGTTTAATTCTCAACTAACCTTGCAAGAAACAAATGGAAGACACCGTGAGTCAGATGAATTACAATTAAATTTTGAGATTGCATGAAAGGAGTGAGGTAATTACTTCATTTTGTGTTCGAGATCTGTCTGTCTGCCTGCTGTTGTGAATTCACTGATCGGAAAAAAATATAAAGCTGAGCCAAGCTAATTTCAATTTCACTCTGTGAGCTTTCAGCCAAATGACTATGAGGTCTTTTGCCTCATGATGCTGTTATGATATTACCAGAGTTAATCATATTTTTCGTATGGCGAGCTTGATAGTTTGACCGAGAAAGAGTGCAAACGCTCGATTACTCGTAACAGTGAGTTTAAAAGCTAAAAGCAAGTTCTTTAAGGCAGAAGCCCGACTACTTTGGCGGCAAGGCCATTGCAGCAATGGCAAGCAGCCGAACCATCGAGCCATGACATGAAACAAAAACAACAAAGAGAATAGTGGTCTTTAGATGTTTCCGAGTAAAAAGTTCAGAGCCAGTTTGAGGCTCAGAATTAATATATATTGTGCAAATTTACAAGCGAGCGATCTGCAGCTATTCTTCTGTATCATGTTGGGTCGATTGATCCACTGATCAGTACCCGAACAGACATGAAATTATAGAGTTGAATTTAAGGTTCAAGTTGCGTTTCTTTGTTTCTTTGAATTCTTTGCAGTAGTTTTAATCGCGCAAGAAAAACAAAACTCTGTCACTGCAAGATGTCTTAGAAAGTAACTATACATGATACATGAAACCCTCATAGATTCTGAGCCATTCGTTTAACGACGCCACGTCGATAAGCTACAGCGATGTGATGATAAGTTTAGTATAAACATTCATCGAATCGCTTTCGAAAGGTACATATGAAAGGAATAGCATTAAAGGATACTTGCAGCCAAGTTTAAGTTTGTAAAATTAAATAATTGCCCTGACAGTCTTACCTCATTTTGAGAGCTCAGATGAGTGAGCATCCTTTCTTTCATGTCCTCGATATTTTTCCATCCTTTATTAAATTGGAATGCTCAAATTCTGCATTGAATCGATAACCTCGGCGATGTCATCTGCCTCATTCAATTTTTGTCTGATGGCTTCCATTTTTTTCTTTAGAAAATTGAACAGACAGCGCCCAGTAGAGAATGAATCTTCAACTTTTGGGATTGTTTGCAAGACCTACTTTCCTAGAAGTATCATGCGTTGACTTACGGTAACCAAGGTTTCATGTCATGTTTACGTTTACGTTTAGCGACCTTTGAAGCAGTGAATTCGTTCTAGAACCTGATAAAATAGAAATTTTTAGGCGAAAGTACTAGGGTTATTAACCGCTTTGCTCCTCTGAGTTACCAATCACCGGCTGACTTTAAGTATAATCAAAGTCTAATCGTGTTGCTACATCGGCCTCTAACAGAACTATACCTCGACAAAAACAGATGTTCTTTCTCTGTTTACAGAAATCAAACATTCCAAAGCTATTTAGCGTGAATCAACCATGAATCCATTGTTGAAAACCGCACACGTTCGAAAGTTATTAGAATTTTCTTATAAACATGGACGGAAAAGCGAAGAGAGATAACATTTTTACGACGATTAATGATTGCTATTAGTGTCGCAGATTTTATCATTTCATCGGCTGGCAGCTTGTGGTGATGACAGCCATGTCGTTCAACCGTGACATACAAACAATCTTTACTCGTCTTGAACGCAAGAATTATCTGTTTTTTGCTCTTGCATTACAGATTGAAGTGGAGTTACATCGTGCCAATCAATTTATCAGCGTTTTGAAATACTGATACATAATGGAATACAACTGCTTAAAAAGACCACAAATGAGAGAGATTAGATAGAGACTTATAAAGCCCGTTTACACTTCTGTGCTTGTGACAAATGTGTCATGACAGGGACTTCCCTTTGTTCCCAGAAAAACCATCACAGTTTTCTCAGAATTATGTCTATGTGAAATCTGTTATTTTTTATTTCTTTAGGCAAGGAGCAGTGATCTTTGCATTTAAACCTTTTCCATAACCTCCAAGAGTAAAATAAAGTGAGATACAGTTTAGTCGAGTTAACTGTTTAATACGTGGAAATGACGCTTACATGAAGGCTGCAGACTGATGATTCATGCTAACAATTGATTCTTTTGAACGACCGTGACGCGGTATGCGTATTATGTTCTTTGCAGACTTAATTGCTGCCTTTTGTACTTATTTCGTAAACGCATCGCACAGGCACTTTTTAAGCGTTAAGCGTTTCAGAGCACCAACTGTCTGAGAAGAGTATTATTGTCTGTTAACAGATCAAGTGATCTTGTACAGTTTTGTGGCCATGAAAAGGATTTTTTAGTGCACAGCGACTTTAAATCACCCGTTGAGCACCTCTATAGGCTGGTAAATGGATAACTAGGATTTAAGGAATGCAACATTACGAGTGGTTTTTAAAAGAAGTAACTTGCATTGGGAATTATCTAACGCCATTTGAAAAAATACGCTACTGTTGACGTGACTTCTCGAGAATTTTGTCAAAAACGCATGATGTCTACGGGGCTGGAGAAAGTGGATGCCATAGAAGATATATTAAAAGCTGGCGACTTAATGAAATCTTTCGGTCTTTCGACAACAGGCTTACGTTCAATAGATGAGATGAAAAGCAAACTTCGTGAGCATTTAAAAGAGTTGGAAGAGACTTCGTCGCGAAAGATTGGAGAGGTATGTGATCACAATGACACTTTTTAGTACAGACATCACAGATATTTGTGCAGAATATGGTAAATTATCCGACTATATGTAAATCTAAGCAGTCGGAGTACACGTTGTTTCGCTTGTTTTGCTGCTTTAAAGTAAATCTATCCATTTTTATTCTTGCGTAATATTATGAATGGTTTAAGACCATAATGAGGTAAAATTCAATTTTAAAATATCAACACTGACCACAACTCACGGAAGTCTTAACGGAAAACCGTAGCTTCTGCAAGGAATCATTACAATCATTCACCAATAATTATAATTCGAAATTATATTTAGCTTTGTACTCCTTGAAGTCTTTGTGAACTGCTAGATAGCGAGATAAATTCATAAAACATTGCCATGAAATACGTGATCAAGAATGAGGCAACGCAGGAATCTATCGATACCGCTATACATAGTGCATGTTGCGTTTGGTTCTCCTAACTGTAGATCGATAGCTTTATTTTCATTTTTATTCAACAATTAAAACCTATTGGCTTGCAACAATAGTACCGATTTCAGTCCTTTTTTAAAGCTCCGAGGTCTTCGATCGAAAAGAATTTTCATCAACTGCAAAATTTGCTGATCGAAAAGGGCATCCCCTCTCCCCTTAAGAGTTTTGTCCATAAATAATAATTTTTTTTCAAACTTATCACCGTGGATTGAGAACGTGGTCGGAGTAATATTTTCGACCCGGAATTTATACAGACTGCACAATCGTTTTATTTATGTATTCCATGGAACATTTATAAGAATCGCTTGCGAGTTAAGGGGGCCTGGTGCTTACTCGCAGAGAGGTAGCCCGGCTAGTTCAATACATAAAGAGTGACTTCTGTTTAAGTCGTTAAACAACAGCTAAGTATATGCAATAGGTTTCTCGAAAAAAAAAACATCATCAAACATGCCATATTTAGCGCTGATTTACAACACTGAAACTCTCGAGGTGTTCAAAATTGGCAGTGTTATTAGTCGTGAACCCAGGCGGCCTCCTATGGGAAAAATAGTTTAGCAGCGTTATTTGTGTTCACTTGGATCAAATGTGTTTAGTGCTAACTAACTTTAACAATTTTGATTAAGATCTTTTTACTTGCAGACACACGTAGTTATCTCCGATGCTGGTAAATCGGATGCTGACAAACGCAGAAAGTTACTCGATCTTTACAAAAGAACTGAGCAGTTTATGGGTCAGTTTGAGGAGGATTTTTTGGAAATATTTCAAAAAAGCTTCGAAGACCTAAACAAATCTTTGCAAGAGAGAAAGCAGAATGTTGAACCAAGTGATCAGTATGTTGTTCTTGTTGCAGGTATGTTTTGCTGTCATCAGTAAAAGAGACATCAGTTTCGTCATGATTATAACTACTTTGTTCGCTTAGACTTGGGATGCAGTCGCAATCGTTATGGACGAGCTATCATCTCGAGAAGCTACGAACAAACGCCATCAGCATCTTAATTCACTTTCCTTTGCATTACTGTCATCGTTAACAGACAATAATATTTATTCTAAATTGTTATATATTTCTCTGCAAGAGAGGGCAATATCTAGAAATTTCAAAGGTAGTTAGGCCTTTGTTTTGTTTGTTATCATGCTCTCGTACTTAGTCTCTAGTTTGATAAGCCAGTTCAAGATTACTTAAATCTTGCTCATTGGTAGTGTTTTTTATCTTGCTTTGACGCTTTCAGGCTTCGATTATGGTTAGTCATTGTCTTCTATTTTATAATTCCTCTCTTGAGATTAGGTGAGACTAGCGCTGGAAAAAGCAGTGTCATTAATCTCATCTTGGGAGAAGACCTTCTTCCCTCTAAAACATTGAGTACCACGTCCACAATTTGCGAGCTGAAATATGGAGAAAAGCCGATGGTTGGTGTACACTACAAGCCTACTGGAACAAAAATTCCTGAACCAGCATTCCACGAGTTGAATAATGGAAGGAAAACCTTCAAAGAACAAATAGAAAAGTTTGTGTATGCCAAAGAAGATCGAGAGAAAGCACCTTACGAGAAAATTGAACTGTTTTTTCCGCACCCTTTGTTTAAGGTACTAACGAAGTTGATAGACTAAGCAAAAAAGTTCTGACAAAATTTCGGTATTAAAAAATTCAGGACCAAAAAGTAAACCTCTGCAGGTAGCCGTATGGAATTAACTATAAAGTTAGATTATGGAGATTGAAATTGCTTATTTCTGCAAAAAAATTAGCGGTGTGTGAGGTGAAAGTAATTCCAGTGAAACGGACTAATGAATGCTTGTTCCAAATTCCATGGCTTTTTCGGTTACTATGCATTAAGATAAAGGTGCGAGAATCTTAGTAAGGTAGTGGCTTACCATGACGAAATTTTGAAAAAAAAAAAACTTTTGAGAAATGCTGTTCATGGTAAATAATATTTCAATGAACTCATCTAC